ATTACAAAACAAAGCTGAAGGAATGAAGAATTCGATGCCAATCTCCTCCGAAAATTGCTCCAAATGCTTTCTCCCTTCCGAAATAGCCTCCCTAGGTCTAAGATATGTCAAAAATCTTCAAAATAACATTTTTACATGTATTTATACCAAGTAGGGTCGGGCCCAGATGAAACACCCTTTCCTGTGAGAAATAGGACTTGGCTCTGTAAAAAATAAACAGCAGCGCCGCACTATGCGGCGCACTAGTGGACTTTGTCTGCAGCCTCTTCTTTTCGTGTCAGGCATCATTTTACACTATTGCGCCGCACCTTGCGGCGCCCCATGCGGTGCGGCAGTGTAATTTTCTCAGACAGAACTTATTTCGTCCTCTTTTAACATCCAGATTTCGTACACTACCTTCAAACACGATCCCGGCTTAATGTATTGGGCTTTTACTCAGACTTCAAAGCTCCAAATTGATCAATTTAGCTCCAAATTAACTTTTGATCTCAGGATCACTTCCTGCAAGGCATAAAACACGTACTAAGTGTAATTCACTATCATTTGAACTCAAACGCATGTAAAACTGCAGTCATTGGAATGTAAAACTTCGGCTAAAACACGGGTTTCTAGCCTATCATCAACACCCCACACTTAGACAATTGCTCGTCCTCGAGCATTTGAACTACACTGCACCTAGGGATAACCTTTCATCAAACAACCTCCCTGATACATCATGAGAAAAATAATTAAACTAGACTGAGCACCTCATCATAACATCCCACCCTTAATATTCGACTCAAAAGTACCATGCATTGGTCACTCGCCCACTTACTCTAACATAGAAGTCAATGAAATTTTCTATCATTTATGAATCAAGTGCCCTCACACAACAAAAGAGAATAGTCCATACAATAAATTTTAAGAATATTTAGGAACTCAAGATAGAAAGAATTCACTCACTCTCAGAAATAACATTCATATGCCACAAAAGATGCACCATAGGCTTGCCCGTAGTGTACGACTCTACTAATCGAGCTCATTCAGTCTAGGATCAAGTAGGACTTTATTTGGTTGTAATGTAGGCTGCGGGACGGGTATGATACATCTAGATATAAGAGTGCCTACACCTCCCTAAGCACTTTAATACATATACTTTAACATTCAAACTCCACTTATGTCAAACCAAAACTCCACATTCACATCAATCTAGATTAACTCCCTACATCTTTAAGCACAATTACGTCAAGAGCAACCACTATCAAAGAATANCCATTAGTTCCACTCAAAAGCTAAACCAACCAACCACACTTTAACTTTTACAAAGTTCATAACAGTTCAAGTGCTCATGAGAGGTGAAATGGTTCAACTATATGGTTAATTCAAACAATTGGATAAGGCTTGTAATGTGGTTGACAAAGAAACATGATTATAGGCTCAAAGGGGTTAACTACGATACATCACAATTAGGCGGGTAAAATATGTATATATGGCTCAACAAAGAAATGCCTATATCACTTCCAAGACTGAACAAAACTACTATTTCGCTTTGCAAACACACGGGGTAAGTTCTAGACATCAAATGCAATGCACAGAATAACACAAAACCTTATACACACATGGCACATAACTCACTCAGGATTGGACTAATCAAGACACTCTAGTCAAAGCAGTTAAGCACAGTTTTAATCATACGATTTAGGGCACTTATTTAAGAGTCAAGAATTGATCCTAGGTGTCACACTAAGGCCCTTACCACTCTCAAGGCATATTCAATCAAGGGAAATTGATCCTTTAACTTAGCTTCCTAACTAAAGATTCTTAATTCCTAAAAAATAAAAAGATTTAACTACACCCGATTCAAGCAAAACCCTTGGAAAAGAACTGCGGCACAAAGAAAAACCAAGGGGAAATTGTTACACTACCTAAAAGAAACAAACTAAAATAAAAGACATATTTTTGGATTTTCACATATATGAATTTTTTTTTCTCTTTCGACTCATCTCCCTCAAGAAACCAGTCGACGAAATCCATCATCGGGAAGATTCGAACTACAAACTTAATTACTAACTATTACAGGCCTGATAGCATTTAGAATTATAGTTTACAGACCAATTGTCTAAGAAAGCAAGAAACAAATCAAACAAAACCAACTCGCAAATGAAAAAAAAAATACAAATACAATCAAATAAGAGCCCCCCACCCCACACTTAAGAGATTGCATTGTCCCCAATGCAAAACAGTAGAATCAAAAGTGAAAAGGTGACTCCCTGAGGCCCAAGACCTAATCATCAGCACCCCCGAAGGTGCACAAATACTCCTCATCATCTGAGAAAATGAAGTTCACATCTTCATCGGGTGGCAGCTGTCCTCCTCTCGCCAACCCCAACCACTACTGAGTGATAGTAGAAAGGGGGTGATCCTACTGCAACAAGTTGGCCTCCCCCCGAGCAACCCGAAGGTGCAAGTCAGTAAATAGTAGTTGTAGTGTCTCCTCAATGCGGACCATCCTCTGGTCTGAATTAACAGCCGCATTAAGGGGTCTATCACCGACGTCACATCATAGGGCCTAATAGGGTAAGACACTGGAATAGTCCTGTCATAGTGGTACTCCTTCCACAAGGTGTGCTCGCAACAATCGAGTAACATACTCGGGTAATATAGACGGCGAGCCCTAAGTGGTCGCACTTTAGCCATATGCTCAAGCATGATTTTACCCAGGTCAAACTGCATCTGAGTCAACAGGGCATAGATCAAACACACCTTCAGTTGGGGGACATCAATGTCACTTTAAGTCGGCGTGATCTTGGCATTAATCAACTGCAAAACAACCATGGCTGGCCACTGGAATGTTGCCTTCTTCATGTCCTTGTGGAATTCATTTGCATTCGTGTCCATGATACAGAACAGTCAGCGCCACATAACAGGCGATGAATAGCTGGATAGTCTGGCCGACGGAGAAGCCTCTAAAAAAGCTTGTGGGGATGCTCTCTGAATCCCATAATCCGATTGATCACCCGGGAGGAGAATAGAATCACTTTACCCCTTACCTCCACTTCGTAAACTGCATCCAGGCTGGCTTCAGGTTGCCAGTTAGCATAAAATTCTGTGACTAGGTTCACATTCACTACATCACCCGGATGGAACAGGATGTCGAAACCCAAAGCCCAAATGTTGTTGTAAATTTCACCATATTTACGGGCCAACTTCCCATCGTCAATAGCAACCTCAGGATCCGGGTTGGCTGACGGGACAAATGTCTGAAACCAGTGTCGAGCATGGGGGGGACAGCCCGTATATCATATTTGCATACTGGTACCACATCCGCATCAGGGTCAATGCGCTCCTCTTCCTCCTCTATGGGGCGGGGGGAGGTGCCCATCTCCCACTACGACAACTACTAGAAGCAACCTCAGAAGAACCAATGTTAGAGCATTTGCTCGGGCGGCGAGACATTATACATGCACAAGACGAACAGTATTAGCCACAACATGAAAACCCAAAACAAGACCAAACGGGGTAACCACCCCATACTTATGTTATTGGCATGTTCACAAGTAAAATGTATATCAGGGACTCAGACTACCCCGATGGAAGTGCACCACAAGCAATCAAAAATCCCCCAACCACCAACATAATAGTACAACTACAAAACCACGGACTATGCTAGTTTAACATATAAAATTAAGAAGCTAATCTAGTAACTACGAAGAGAAATAAAAGAAGTTATACTAATGCACTACTAACAAACTTCACAAAATACAACACAACACTACACAAGCACAAAGCATGAATCGAATATTCCAATTAGCACCTAGCACCACAGTTTCTCATAGCAATTATTCTCCACTAAGCTACAATGTCACTTTATATGTCATTGAGGCATTTAATCAAACACATGGCATTCACCAAAGTTACCTCAAAATCACAACTTTAATTCTTCCAAGATTACTGTACAACTATACCAATCAACCATCCTACCACTACCACAATGTAACAGAGTCACAAAGTGCTCCAAATTTGCACAAATATACCACTAATTTTCGGCTTTTAAGGCACCTCCACACAACTTCACAATAAAAAAATTTATAAGTATCAAGACATACTAAAAATCTTCCACAAGTATAAGCACAAGGGAAACCCAACAAGTTAAGCATCAATCATAGCCAAAATAAGCAATTAAATTGAAAAAATTAGCACCACTACACTACCTAGGGTTTAGCTCAAATTAAACTATTTTACTCATTACACTAAATTACTTAAAGAAAAGAGAAGAGTGTAGAGAACTTACTTTGAGGATGAATGGAAGGGATGGAAGGTGTGTGTGAGAGAGGAATTTGAGAAGAAAAGAGAATGGGGTATTTGGGGGAAGGGCTAGGGCATTTGGGTTGAAAGAGAAAAGAGAAAAAGGGGTTGGGGGCGTTGAACAGAAAGTTTAAAAGAAGCTAAAAAAATATTATTTTTTTAAAAAAAGTTGTACTGCCGTGTCGCAGGGTGCGGCGCCCCATGAGACGCGATAGTGTTAATTATCAGAGGCCCTCTTTGTCTCTCAGACCCGTTTGGCCTAGTGCGGCGCATGGCACAGCGACCCATGCGGTGCAGTAGGCCATTTTTCAGAGAGTTTGCTTTATTTTTGACATTTAGCTTCCGGGTTGCACCCCAACTCTATTATATACTTATTTTATATCCAATTCATTCTTGTACCTACCCAATCAAGTCTCATAACTCCTAAATTCTAATAATCCTAAACTACAATTATGGGTTAGTGCAGTTAACAATTGGGTTGCCTCCCAATAAGCGCATGATTTAACGTCGCAGCACGACGTAGATGAGCGCATTTAAGGCTCGCTCGACCTCTGAGGTTCAGTCAGGTGGATCTCAGACACTTCCTTTGGTTCATTCATGCCCACATATAGTTTCAATCTCTAACAATTGACTCTAAATGTATGAGAGTCTTTATCTACGATAATCTCTACGACACCTGAGAGGAATACATCGACCACTCGAAAAGTTCCAGACCATCATGACTTGAGTTTTCCCGGAAATAGCCTTAATCTTGAGTTATAAAGCAATACCATGTCTCCGGGATTGAAATTTCGTTCAACAATGTTCTTGTCGTGCAACCACTTCATTCTCTCCTTATACAGTCTTGTGCTCTCAAAAGCAAGATATCGGAACTCGTCGAGCTCATGCAGTTCTGTGACTCTAGTTGTGCCCGCAGCCTCAATGTCCAGATTCAACTGTTTCATTGCCCACCAAGCTCTATGTTCTAGTTCCACTGGCAAGTGACAGGCCTTCCCAAACACCAACTTGTATGGTGACATACCAATTGGTGTTTTGACTGCAGTTTTGTAGGCCCAGAGTGTATCATCTAGCTTTTTCGCCCAATCAGTTCTTTTGGCATTCACTGTCTTGGTCAGTACGCTCTTTATCTCTCTATTAGACACTTCGACCTGTCCATTGGTCTGAGGATGATACGGGGTTGCCACTTTGTGGCATATATCGTATTTTGCTAACAATTTCTCGAAGGCTCGATTGCAGAAGTGAGTGCCTCCATCACTGATAATAGCTCTCGGGGTCCCGAAACGGGTGAATATATTCTTCTTTAAAAACCCCACCACCACTCTTGCATCATTGGTGGGAAGTGCTGCAGCTTCCACCCATTTGGACACGTAATCTACAGCAAAAAGTATGTACTTATTGCCAAAGGAGCTGACGAAGGGGCCCATGAAGTCTATCCCCAAACATAGAACACTTCAACCTCTTGAATTGGGTTCATGGGCATCTTATGGCGACGGGAAATGTTCTCGGTTCACTAACATTCATTATAGCCCTTCACCCATTGATGTGCATCCTTAAACACTGTTGCCCAGTAGAACCCGACTTCTAGCACTTTCGTTGTCTTCCTGACTCCTCCAAAATGCCCGTCATATGTCGATGTGTGACATGCCTGCAAAGCAGAAGATTATTCTACCTTAGGGACACACCTCTGTATCATATTGTCAACATATATTCTAAATAGATAAGGTTCATCCCAGTAATACATGCGGCAGTCACGATAAAACCTTTTCTTTTGTACAGAGGAAAGGTCATAGGGAACTATACCGCATGCCAGGTAATTTGCAAAGTTTGTCCATGGAACTTCCTCAAGGCTTGTAGCGAGTAGCTACTCATCTAGAAAGGTTTCCAGAATATCTTCAACCTTAATTGAGTTTTCAGCTCCTTCAAGTCGTGATAGATGCTCGTCTGGCGGGTGCATTGTATAGGCCAAAGGGCATCCTCCGAAAAGCATAAATGCCATATGGGCAAGTGAAGGAGGTCTTCTTCTGTCCTCTGGTGCAATGGAGATTTGATTGTACTCTGAGTACCCATCCATAAAACAGAAGTGGGACCTCCCTGCCAATCTATCAAGCATCTGATCAATGAAGGGAAGTGGGAAGTGGTCTTTCGGGGTGGCCATTTGCAAATTCTCCAGCCTGTGATGGTTCTTGTAGAGATCAGCACATTGTTATCATTTTTGACCACCGTCATGTCCCCCTTCTTAGGAACACATTGCACTGGGCTAACCCAGTTGCTGTTAGAGATTGGGAAAATGATTCCCGCATCCAACCACTTATTCACTTCTTTCTTCATCACTTCCTTCATGTTGGGGTTCAGCCTTCTTTTGTGTTCCCTGAAAGGTTTGTGTCCCTCTTCCAACAGAATTTTATGCATACAGTATACTGGGCTGATCCCCTTAATGTCTGCCATGGTCCACCCAATGGCAGTCTTGCACTCCTTGAGTACCTACAAAAGTTGTTGTGCCAGCACATCTAACAAACTACATGAGATAATAACAGGTAATGTGGAGTTAGGTCCTAGGAACTCATACCTGAGATGGGCGGGCAGTGGCTTCGATTCCAGCTTTGGTGGTTCTTCTATGGATGGCTTGGTTGGAGGAATTTCTCTGTTTTCTAAGTGCAAAGGCTTGAATTCGAGAGTTCTATGACAAAACCCTCTGCCCTTTAAAGCCAGCACCCATTCTGCCAATTCTTCCCCATTTACCTCATCTGAATTTACCAGACATGCAGTAAGAGGGTCCTCAATAGTTAACGTCTTATCATTAGCTTCTACGATTACATCTATGGCATCAATAAGAGAACAATTGGCGAATTCACTTGGTCGCCTCATAGATTTCTGCACATTGAATGTTATCTCCTCATCGTTCAATCTCATCTTGAGCTCCCTAGTTTCACAATCAATGAGAGCTCTCCCCGTGTCCAAGAATGGCCTTCCTAAAATATGGGAATTTCTTCATCCACATTTCAATCTAGAATCACAAAATTTGCAGGGAACACAAATTTCCCTACCTGAATCAGCACGTCATCCAAGATACCAGAAGGTATTTTCACAGTCCTGTCAGCTAGCTGCAACAATATAGATGTGGGCCTAGCTCTTCCAATCCCCAACCTCTTATAAATCTCCAGGGGCATAAGATTTATGCTAGCCCCTAAATCACAAAGTGCCTTGGCAAAAGCAAAGTTACCAATGGTGCAGGGAATTGTAAAACTCCCCGGGTCAGACAACTTCTCAGCAACTGGTCTAGTCACCACAGCATTGCAGGTCTGAGTAGGAATCACTATGGTCAAGTCTTGAAAATCGAATTTTTGGGACATCAAGTCCTTCATCATTTTTGCATAACCAGGCATCTCCTTCAACGTATCAATCAATGGAATATTTACCTGGATTTGTTTCACCATATCCAAGAATTTCCTGTATTGTTCCCCTTTCTGGTACTTGGCTAGCCTTTGTGGGAATGGTGCTGGAGGTCTCTTCTTCCCATTGATTTGGGTATTTTCTTTGTCAGACACCACCTCAACTACCAGTTCCTGGGCTGTCTCAATTTCTTTCTCAGCCTCAATCTGTGCATTATGTGTTTCCTAGGTAGGCTGCACTGTCACCTCTATCAGTTTCGTTGAATCATCTAGCTCAATGGGCACTGGTACAAGTGTCTCAGCCTGTATGCTTTCCCAGGCCCTCTCTTTCTCCAAGTCTAGGTCTCTGCCATTACGTAGACTCATTGCCATCAGCTGCTTCGGGCCTTGATCTTTTGGATTTACCTGCGTGTCTGTAGGCAATGTCCCTAGAGGACGATTATTCCAAGACATCGAAATCTGGCCCATCTGCACTTCAATATTCTTAATAGCTGACTCATGTGCATCTACTCTTTCACTCATTTTTGCATTTGACCCAATAATCTGTTGCATCATTGCCTCGAGTCTAGCAAACCCATCTTCCTGTCTTCCACCCATGCTGCTATTGAGGAGGATGATAACCCTGCTGTTGATTTTGATTATTATATCCATGTGGCCTTTGGTAAGGCGACATATTATTGTGAGGTCTCATACCTCCCATGTTTCCATTGTTGAGTTGTGGTTGTCTGGCTTGTACGACAGATTTTGTTGGCCCCAATTTTGACCACCTTGTCTCTGGCCTCTATAATTAGACACATAATTCATGTCCTCAGGGTAGTGATGATGATCACTTTCTGCATTCCACTGGTTACCAATTGGCTGACTAATGCAAGATATGCATAAGCCCCCATTGGTAGTATTTACAATGTGTACCTGCTGCTTCTGCCCTGACTCTTCCAGCTTTTTGGTGAGTATATTCATTTGTGTCATTAATGTGGCCATGTTTTCAGCAAGAATGTTGGATGGATCTAAGGGCACTAAGTGAACCACTGAAGTAGGTGCATTCCTAGTTGTCCACCCCGAATTCTGTGCCATCTTGTCAAGCAGACTCTGGCTTTTTCTCCATGTTTTGCTCAAAAATGTTCCACCAGCTGAAGCATCAACATTACCCTTCACGCCATCTTCCAAACCCATGTAAAACTGTTGTCCCAACATCTGATCTGGAATACAGTGGTGCGGACATATAACCAACATCCCTTTGAATCGTTCCCATATTTCTTGTAGTGTCTCCATTGGTTTCTGTTTGAAACTCAAAATTTCATTAATTTGTTGAGCAGTGTTGTTGGGTGGATGAAACTTGTTCACAAATTGCTTGACTAACTCCTCCCAAGTCGTTATGGAATTAACGGGGAGTGAGTTTAGCCAGGTCTGGCAGCTCCTGTCACTGAGAATGGAAACAACAACAGCTTTATTGCTTCCTGCATTACGTTGGGCTGCCTTTAAGTTTTGCATATTGACAGGAAATTCTTCGAGTGCTGTTGAGGATCTTCGATTTGTGAACCTGAAAATAGTCCCTTGTTTTGCAATAAGTGCATCCTGTTGTTTGTGATTTGAAATGATTCAGCCTATATCTGTGGGACTAAAATCGTTGTGGCCAAGTTCTCTGTTGTGGGTTGTGCCCAGTCAAATAGAGCAGCCTCTGGCACAAGAGGTGTCATTGGCGCTAATGGCGCAGCTGGGTCTACCACGTTATCCCCCATGTCTGGTTCGAATTGTTCAGTTGTTTGTTGTTGTTTGTTTTTCCGGTTGGCCCGATTCAAGTCCTTGAAAACTTTCTCGGGATCTGATAATGCTTCAAATACTTCACCAGTTCTCGATAAGTTTCAAGGCATGCACCTGTACAATCAAGTCAACAAACGTTAAAATTTCAATGTATAGATTAGATATAGAGAAAACTGACTACACTAAGAATTTTTGTCTTTCTTTCAATTGTAATTGATAACACCGTTAATTCCCCGGCAACGGTACCAAAATTTGATCACGCCCAACTATGCCTTATAAAAAGGACAAGCGGACGTTGCAAATATAATCTGAGTATTTCGCCCAGAGTCGAACCCACAAGGAATTAACCTATCAATTACTCTTATCAGACTCACTAAATTCTACGTAATCAACTTCCCAAACATTTTGAATAACAATTGAAAATATTTTTACTAACTATGACGAACTGCAATTAAGTAAATAAAGACTAACTATGATTAAGTTGTAAACAATTAAGAGAAGGATCTAAGGTTGTGATTTCCCCTATTGATGGAATCCCTTCCGGTTATGTTTCATATAGATTTGCCTAATCGTCTCTATTGATCATGAGCACTCTTATTACCGTAAATCTCTTCCCGAGTAATCACGACAATTTACTAGGCGCACTCTCCCGAGTTACGTTACCTGGCTTTTAATACAGCTCACTTTAGATCACACCCAAGGCTTCGTTATCCCTAATCTCGTCTTTAAATCCTCAGTTATTGATCCCTCATATACGCTGGGAGTGGTGTTGTTCAACAATTACCTAAATATGCACTCTCTCCCGAGTAATACATACTAAATATGCATAGATAATTGAGGAACCTATCAATTAACTACAACAAAAACGTAGTTGAACAAATAGAGATTAAACCGGGCAAACTATATTAACATAACAAGAAGTTCATCCTTCAATAGGTTCCATCAAAACCTTAGACTAAATATTTAGCTACTCATAATCGTGTTCATAATTTCCCAAATAATGTGCATAATTAAGTTACAAAGCAAAGCTGAAGGAATCAAGAATTTGATGCCAATCTCCTCCGGAAATTGCTCCAAATGCTTTCTCCCTTCCGAAATAGCCTCCCTAGGTCTAAGATATGTCAAAAGTCTTCAAAATAGCGTTTTTACATGTATTTGTACCAAGTAAGGTCGGGCCCAGACGAAATACCCTTTCCTGCGCAAAATAGGACTTGGCTCTGTAAAAAATGAACAGTTGCGCCGCAGGCTTAGTGGACTTTGTCTGCAGCCTCTTCTTTTCGTGTCAGGCATCATTTTACACTGCTGCGTCGTGCCTTGCGGCTCCCCATGTGGCGCGGCAGTGTAATTTTCTCTAAATGAACTTATTTCGTCCTCTTTTAATATCCAGATTTCGTACACGACCTCTGAACACGATCGCGGCTTAATGTATTGGGCTTTTACTAAGACTTCAAAGCTCCAAATTGATCAATTTAGCTCCAAATTAACTTTTGAACTCAGGATCACTTCCTGCAAGGCATAAAACACGTACTAAGTGTAATTCACTATCATTTGAACTCAAACGCACGTAAAAATGCAGTCATTGGAATGTAATACTACGGCTAAATACGGGTTTCTAGCCTAACATCAGAATGCAATGGTACTTATTACTTTCAGCTAAAAGATATATAAGTATAATACATACTGTATAGGTATACTATGTTCACAGTCAGAATCATAAAAACAATAGGTGCAATAGTATAACGAATTCCCTCTGTCCCATCAATTCCCTTTTTAGAGTCAAAACAGAATGATACATTTTCATATTTAATAATAATTTAATCCTAAACTTTTTATTTTATCCTAATAAAATAATTTATAACCACACAAAATTTTTATGATATATTTCGGATCATAAGTTTGAAAAGTCTTCATTTCTTCTTTAAATTTTGTGTCGAGACAAAAATTATAATATAAAATAGCAACGGATGTAGTATTGAGTAGCAAGCATTTGGAGCATGTAAAATTTCTGATTATTTAATGTTTCTTGCTATCTCTTTGGCAATCCTGAATGTATTTGGGAACTAACAGCCCTGCAAACATGCAATATTTTCGATATGTGTAGTCAATTGGGAGCTCGCCATCAAACTTGGATTATAGAAGCAGTTTGCTTCCAAAAATCCACATGGACCTTGATTTTGTCGAGTGCTGTAAAAAGTCAAAAACGGAATTTTCAAATTCAATTTTTGAGAAACTGACGCCAAGAAAAATACAAAGCAATAACATCAACGCCTGGGGCACAGTTGGAAGATGAATGGTTGTGTTTTATATTATGCCACAATTCCTTGGTTGGTATTAAAACCTAGTTTTGTTTGTGCGTACCTAATTTTAAGTTGTCTTTCAATAATGAAGAAATTGATTATATCGTCACATGTACTGACAACAAATTTTTACTGATTTTTTCAATTTAGTATATTAATTTAATTAGAAATATTGTGATTGATTATAAATCCCTTCTTTTATTTTTTAAGTTTGTATAGGGGTAAATTCGAGGATAGAGTTATCTTCGATTTTTTGTTGTGAAACGAGGAACGACGTTACTTGCTACTAGCTCGGGTGAGCCTGAAGATACCCACAGATCGGAACGAAGAACGAACTAATGATATAACAGGTCTCGAGCACGGCCGAATCCGGAAGTAACCAAGCTCGAGTGAGATGAAGAATCGAGGGTAAAGGAAAGGCGGTTGAAGGAGACAAACGAGAAGCCGAAAAATCTGCCATCAGCGGATATTGCGGCACGGATCATGCTCGGTATTGGCTGCAGATCTTATTTTCGTGGGAAATAAAGAAGGCAAAGATTTTTACTTCATTAGACTTGTACTAGGGTTAAATCTCCTCTACTATATAAAGAGAAGAACCCCTTCATTTTTCGCACTCACTTTTTCACGCATAACAAGGCAATAAAATTTACTTTAGCCCACAACATCGTTTTAAGTGTTCTTCAGTTATTTACTCGTTTATTCGGATCCGAGCTCTATCTAGAGAGCTCAATCGAGACCGATCATTGGCATTTAAGTTAAACACAATGCTTACTTACTATCATTTTGGTTTGATCATTCCATCTTATTTCATTTATTGTTCTTTGATCATTTATTGACTTCTTGCTTGTCCCTTCTTTTGCGAGGTTCGTAGACAGGCAGCCCTTCATTTTCCGCAGAGGCCATGCTCAACTCCATATCATGAGCACGGGTGGCAAGCTCTTCAAATGTCATAGGCTTGATTCCTTGCAAGATGTAACGAACTCCCCAATGCATTCATTGGATGCACATCTCTATGCCAGAAGCTTCGCTTATCCTATTTTTGCAGTTGAGGCTTGCATTTCTCCATCGATTGATAAAGTCTATAACTGGTTCATCTTTTTGTTGGCAAGTGTTCGTAAGTTCCACCACGCTCATAGTACGCCTTGTGCTATAAAAGCGGTTGAGAAATTCTTTCTCTAGTTGATCCCACTATCAATGGACCCAGCCTCGAGATTGTATACCAATCAAAAGAATTCCCTTTTAGTGAGCGGACGAACTGCTTGACAGGGTAATCTCCATAAGTCCCTGCATTATTGCATGTATCAACAAAATGTGCCACGTGTTGCTTTGGATTTCCATTGTCGTCGAACTGATAAAATTTGGGAGGTTGATAACTAACAGACATTTTCAAGCTATCGATTCTTGCAGTATACGGCTTTGCGTACGTTAGAAAAGACTTTTCAGCGACCTCCTACATGTCCTTGATAGTTCCCATGTTGAAATTCTTTTAATTGTTCGACGGGAATTGATCCTTCGGAGGAGACATAAAGTTCTTTGGCAAATGAAACTTGTTTTGTTGGAGGATCAGTCTTCTCGTGGACTTTGGGGAGATTCCCATGTGCATAACTTGATTCTCCATCTATCATGCTTTCAGTTATGCTTGTCAATTTTTCAATACGGACATCTTGATCTTGAGCATACTTTGTTAAGCCCTCAATCATATTTGTCAGATTTGCGAGTTGCTCCTCTGTTATGAAGTGTTAGTCATCATTGCCTCCATGATTATTGCAGATGATGAAAGGTAATAGAACTCTTCGCATAGATTGGACTCAGTTTGGAACATGTTATGTGGCGAGACTGGCGTAGATCCAACACTTAAAACTTCATCATCGGGTTGGGTAAGCGTACTCTTGGTCTTGTATAAAGTAACTTAAGCAAGCGACTTCTCCACAACTTCTACGATATTATCTCCTTCTAATTTGCTAGCAGGGGACCTTTTTTCTCCGGATGATGAAGATCTCAAAACATGTATTAGTGCAGACAACACTTAGAGTGCTCGCTGTCCCAAGACGTTCGCCTTGCTTTGTGTGACTGGCCTAAGACTCCCCGTAGTAGCACTCAGGACACTTTCAACTTCAGAAGAAAATTTAGAGTCAGCAGCTTTTGAGTTTATCTTCTTTGGAGCCATCTTAATGATGCAGAATGTTGAGGTTGAGAAGATATGAGAGGTAGAGATAGTCCCATTGGGTGTGCCAAAATTTGTAACAACTAAATTTCGTTCGTGAAAAATAATAATCAAGACAAGAAATATAGCGACAAATATTATATTTGACTTCAAATGATAAGGTTACAATCTCTAGAAGATCTCAAATCTAAAGAGATGTAGTCGTGTGATTCTTCTCCTTATGAATGATGGTTCAAGAGCTTGAGAGCTTAATCTTGAACTTGATGAATTTCAGACTTATGATGCGTCATGAATAATTTGAAGATCGTCACGAACCAGGATTTGGTGTTGGGTTATCAAGAACGGAAGATTTGAAGCCGCCCGCCTATGATTTGAGTTTGCCAGTGGGATTTGACTACAGACGAAGATTGTAGATATGGATGGAGACCTTGATGCTATTCTTTACAGCTTCTTTAGCCTTTCCCTCTACTTACTTGATTGATCCCTCTAACCTTCTCTTTTGACCCCTTTATATAGGTGTGGAGTGGAGTAGCTTCCAAGAAAATCCTATTGGGCCATTGGGCTTGAGGCTCATGGGCCGCCAATTTGATAGAAGACCAATTAACGGGCTAGCCCAATAATATAATGGACTTTTATTTAAATTAATTTATTTTAGATTTAAATAATCAATCCAATTATACTAGCCCATAGATTATTTGGATTAATATGTATTTGATATATAATAAAATCCAAATTACTTGTGGATTTAAATTTAATAAAATTTTAATTGTCTGCAGTTATATTTTCGCTTCCATTTTATTTGCTTTATTATTATTCACTTATTAATTTAGATTGCGTGTGATTCATTTTTCAGTTAAAATTGATAGATTATTTTTTCATAAAACATTTAAGTAATCTTATGGCATTATATTTATAAATACTAATCATTTTATCAAGCATGTAGTCCATGATGTTCTTATAAAATATGTACTTTAGTTTTATAATTGATTAAAATAAAATATTATTAATTTGTAAAATATATATCAATTATTTTTATAATATTAGTTACAAATATATGATTAGTAATTAATATATGTTAAAAAAATATCTACCCTAAATGTCAAACTTAATACTTTATAATAGCATATATCATGTTAAATCTTAACTTTTAATTTTTGATAGCTAACTTTATATTTATAATTTAATTTAATTGTGTAATTACACTTATGCAACCAAACGGTGTACTTGTAAATATTATGACAAACAACGCGAGTTTGGGATGTCTCTCTCTGCTTTTGAGTTTTAGTTGATGTGAAGGGAGAGAAACGTGATGGGACCACAATTTAAGATGTTCAATTGACTTATAGCCTGTTTGACCAAGCTTCTTTTTAGCCAAAAGTATTTTTTTTTTTTTTTTGCAAAAAAGCATTTTTGGCCAAAAATTGAGATGTTTGGCCAAACTTTTGGAAGGAACAAAAATACTTTTGAGGAGAAGCAGAAGCAGTTTTGGAAAAGCAGAAAAAAAGTAATTTCTCTCCAAAAGCACTTTTTTGAGAAGCACTTTTGAGAAAAATACACTTAGAAACAGTTTTTTAAAACTTGGTCAAACACTAATTGCTGCTCAGAAGTGTTTTTCAAACTAATTAGACAAACACAAACTACTTCTCACCAAAAGTACTTTTGAAAAAAACACTTTTGAAAAAAAAAACACTTCTCAAAATAAGCTAATTTTTGCAGCTTGGCCAAACGAGCTATTATGTAGTGCATTACATTATAATGAGTAATGATTCGCCTTTGGTAATCGAGGAATTACGTGATATATTTATGTACCTTAGAGTTTGTTCTAACGAGTTATGCATCTTGTTATTATTTACATTAGACTTGCCTCACGATGTTCTGTATTAACTGAACAGGTTTAATGGACAGACAATCCAATCCTTAGAAGATAGTATATAGAGGTGTCAAAAAATCTCGTAAATATATTTAATTAAACACCATCGTGAAAGGAGATAAAAGAGTTATACAGCTCACAGCTTGATAAAGGCATGATGTTTTATGCACATCTAGCAGAAAAAAGAATTGTTTATCTCGTGATGTTTTATTTCTCTATTACCAGTTTTCCTACCATTGCCTGTTTTCTGTGGAAAGTAAGGTAGCTTCGATAGTAGGAAGGATCAGGAATAGTGCAACAAGGATGAAGAAAGTAAAGTTGACTCATAATACAACAATTGGAGGAACACGTCTTACCACAAAATGATACAATAGACATAGGAGGAAAAGAAGAAAAGAAAAAGCTTTTCCCAGATTCGTGAAATATCCTTGGGCGATTTATTGCCCCTACAATCAACAGGCCCCTGTTGCTTGCATTAGCTTCATGTTGCAACAATTACTGTCAAACCTGATAAATTAGCACTTCAAACAAGCAATTCTTTTTGGCACCTCAAACAAGCTTGCGACCACTCACCCACACCAAGAAGTTCTATCTCTTCAACTAGTAAAGCGCCTCTCTTGTTCTTGTCTCACGATAAAGTCTCTTTTTTCCTTTTGCATCTTTTAGCCCCCCTCAAACAAGCAATTCTTTTAGCACCTCAAACAAGTCCCCCTTTTTTTCTGGGGAAAACCTAAAACAAACAATTGCAGGGAGAAACCTGCAATAACAGATGATAAAATCACACAGCCAGGGAAAGGCTTCTCTGACTAGGATGATTATGTGGTTTTATCTCCCACGATTCAGATTCTTCTGCTTCTTCTGGAGGGATGAAAGGCAAAGAAATTTCCTGGATCATAAGGTCACCACAAAATGGGCAATCACTGGCTACAGCATCATCCAGCTGTGACCGGATCTGCAGCATCCAGTTTGGCAAACAATCAATTACGGAAAGCCAGAAACTAGGGCTACATTGTCTAGATGAATCAACATGGAGTGAGCTCATATGATACGTTTTGTCTCAGACAAGATCCTTTCAGTTTGAAATGAATCATCCGTTTATCAAAAACTAAGATAATCAAAATGACGGGGGAAAAAAACTTCTTTTATAATTAATTAGCCACTTAAAAGGAGTGATATTTTATAAGCATAAGACTAACCTTATGCATGGGAGTCACGCTAACTAGTGGTTCTTCAGACAAGCCACCATTTGACACATTCTTAGATTCAGCACAAAGTAAAGTAAGTTGCTTCTGCAGATCCAGAATGTATTCGGCCTGCAATACCATTTTAAGGAAAACATTATAGAGACTGTCAACCCAAGTAATTACCACAAGCAAAGACATTTCTTCCCAAGACATAACAGATGGTATTGGAAGACATATGTGGCCCTCTCAGGGATATTTATGATTGCAAGTATCAACTGCAAGATTATGCTTATTTGGCCTGTTAATTGGTCATTGCGGAAAAGCAGAACGGAAATAGATCTACTCTTCGTTAACAATTATTAGAAGCAAAGATATTAAGCCAAAAGAGGTAACAGATAATATCTGAGCACATTATACTTGGCACCATCACGGACAACTTATCAATGCTAATATTTACGCATAAGGGATATTTTCACGTTAATTAAAGAAGAGAATCTGGCTCATTGCTGGAAACTAGAACTGCAAAAAATCTGGAGAACATGTCTGAAGAACAGGAGGAGGAAGAATCACAAATCAACTAATGAAACCTGACAGTTCTTTACAAGCAATGCTTTCAAAAGTGAAGAGCGCGAAAAATACACGGGGTTCATTGGCCTTGAAGCAAAAAGTAAGAAGCGAAGCGCACACTTCTTTGAAATGAAGCACACAATTTACGGAAAATTTAAAAATATCAAACATATACGAGTTTAGTACTCTAAGAATTAAATTACAATTAAAGTAACTAATTTCAGTATCCAATATACAATGATGCCGATATTAGTCCAATTCCTCAAAGTTGAAATTCAAAGAAGTAACTGATTCTTGCCAGAATCACTTTGTGCGTCATTATTTTTTAATATTTTTCTTTTATAAGAAGGTAAGTATTCACTTTGTGCGTCATTGTTTAAAGCATACACTTCTCTAAAGTGCATGACTTCACCCATGAAGACCCTTACTTTGCATAGCTTCATAGCTTTACGCAACGAAGTTATGGCTTTTATTAACATTGTTTACAAGTCAGCTAATGGCAATCCTTGAACAATAGCACAGCAACACCAAGAAGATGATTTCCATTTCTACATACATTTGTCTGATGAATGCAGCGAGTATATACTGTGACATAAAAGATTTCAGACTTGAAGTCAACTCTTGCAATCCACTCTAGGCTATTTGTTACTATCAGTTGTTCTACGAATGTTGAGCTTCACAGAAAATTACCCATAATCATCTCATACCCTTTCTAACAAATGTAATTTATAAGTGTAAGTGCGAAGGCATCGGATCAGTGTTCACCCACCTAGGTTTTGAGAACATTTTCCAACTAACCCAATTTCTAATCGTTTAGTCACTGCCTAAAAGGACCCACTCATATCCATGCAAACTTGTTAAACCAAGAAACCTCTTCAAAATTTCTAAAGACAACTAAATATTGAGAAGACCAGCATAACACCAGAAAGAAAAAGACATTATCATCAGAAACACTATTACTTACTCTGAAAACCTAGCAACCTGCAACATAACTATCTGCATGCGGTTGGTTTAATGGTCAAAGCTTTGACCATAGCCAGGAGGTCCTGAAACTGAGTCTCAACTTTACCCCCATCCCTTGCACCGAATTTCACAATTCCCACAAAGTGAAAATAAATTTTCAAGCAAATAACCTAATACTTCCAGTCGTCATAATTGCACCAACCAAAAGTAACAAGATCATTTTCAACATGGTTTGCCAATGTCAATAATGCAACATACAGATAAGACAATAAAAATGTGCTCTCACATATATGAAGAGATGAGAAGACAAAGCAGTACAACCACTATTCAAATGATAAGCAGAAGCTGAGCAGGAAAGACACTCTTCTGTTACTTACTTGAGCTTGATTAGTACACCTAGTCACATGAGCTATCAGGCATTGTGCATGAAACGCATGACCACACGGAAAGACATAGAAGGGAGCCATTGGTCCAACAACCATATAACCTCTAGTCATTCGATAATCACCACCCACATTTAATATTTTCCGTCGACAAACCTAAAAATGGAAAAATATTGGAGGGAAGCTTAGTAAAAAGGAAAAAAAGAAAGAAAGAAAGCCAAAGGAATGCATGTACAGCAGTCTACGAACAATAAATATTGCAGATACGATGAAGAATAAAATACGAGCAGGCTACACCTATTATCCTGAAGTCTGCGACAGAATCAGATTATATGCCTAAGAGAGGAAGAAATAAGCAATACAGATACAAGCATATAATGGAGGTAATGCTAAAGAAATGCAAAAGAACAAACATCAGGAGAGAGGAGACCATTACCCCACATTGCTCATCCCAATCAATGACAGTATATCGCTGAGCAAGAGCGCTGATGTCATTTCTAATGTTATCGGCACCACGAGTTGCATCATTCATCTCCTGCTTTAATTTTTCAATTTGCTCGTTGTAATCCTCTAAGGATGAGCAAATTGCTTCCTATAAAAATTATTGAAAAAAGTTAATGTAGAAGCAGTTGAACATAGAAATGACCTTTATAGAATGACAAGACAACATAATCACTAAAAGCTTAGCTTAGAGAAGCACTAAAAGCAGCATTGAATCAAGATTTAAGGTGACCCAATGTACACTGTTTACTGACCAACTAATGCTGAAATTACTCAATTGATCTCAGTACCAAAAGAAAAAAAACTAAATTGATCAGAAAAGACTGAAGCTCAAGCAACTCTTAGCTAGGAGCAGAGGCGGATCCAGGATTTTAATTCTATGAGCTCATGACTCAGGTTCCAACCACTGAGCCAATCACCTTGTTTGAGTTTTGGGTTCATAGTTCAGCATTTCCAGCAACTTCAGTGGATTTTACAGAGATAAATCCAAGTCTAGGCTAAAAATTATGGATTCTAATGAACCTACATCAATAGTGCTAGATCCGCCCCTGGCTAGGAATTGGAAAACAGAGACTGAAAATTGATTGTCCAAATAAAATGATTTGCTTGATGCAAAGGAATTAAACCATGAAGAAAATGGAAGAATGGGTATTTTCTGGATTTTCTGAACCAATCATAAATTTAGCAAGAGTCATGATCGAATCGGTAAAAGAAAAGATCAAAGCATGGTAGGTAAGGTAGTACAAAAATCTCAGACTCAGCCAAATATTTTGTCTTTTATACCGTATGTGTTGCCTGTTAGATAGTTATGTACATAATATGAATTAGTCCTAGTTCCGCATAGAATAGCAGTATGATATGTATTGTATAAACATGGCTCATTGTATTATAATTAAACAGAATATCAATAAATAGTTGTTTTCCCGTGCATTTTCACATGGTATCAGAGCAACCGTGAGAAATTTCGGTGTGCATAAATTCCAGCGACTCCGGGAAGAGAAAACAGTCAACCGGAAGCCCTTTTTTCTGGCAAAAACAGGTCTGTTCGCAAGAACAATAGTATCTGTCAGTGTTATGCAAAAACAACCACCACCAGAGGTAGATCAAAGCTCCGCGACCAACCCTTAAAAAAATCTCCGGCAGAAAAGGACTCACACGCCCTCACGCGTCGCCGGAAGAATTTCTCCGGCGAAGTTACGACGTCCACACTCCGACGAGTGAGGTTGTTTCCGGACAGATTTTGGGAAAACTTCTTCAGGACAATCTCTTCTCCTCGCAAATCCGAGCCTACCCATTCAATTTAAATCAAATTCTGACCGCTTTTTATATTTTTTTCCGTCGTGAACAGTGATTTCTAGAAATTTTCTGCTTTTCCGGCGCAACAATATAATGGCATTCGTATCAGATGCCTTTAGCTCATAGTCTGTTGGATCCAATGATCCAAATGGTTTCTTTACCGGATTATATTGAGTTTCTTCAGTATAAAACAAGTAAACAGACATCTTCAGGGATAGCTTCCGTTGTTCAAACAGATAGTAGCGTGACTTGTGTCTCCCAATCTTCAACCTCTGAGTCTTGGGTCATTGATTCAGGATCATCTGATCATATTTGTGGTAACATATCTCTTTGCATTACTATTTCATGTTGTCAATCTCTCCCAGCAGTCACAATGGCCAACAAGTCTCAAACCATGGCAATTGGAATAGGTCAAGCAAGTCCACTACCTTCCTCACCTTTAGATTCAGTTCTTTATGTTCCCGGTGGTCCTTTTAGTCTCATAGTCGATAGTCATTAGTCGCTTAGCCAAATCACTTAAATGCTCTGTTTTATTTCTTGATGACTTTGTTTTTACAAAGGAACACAGTACAGGGCGGATCATTGGTACCAGGCGTGAATCAAATGGACTTTATTACCTTTTTTTTTGCAAAATCACATGGATTCACATCTTGTCTTTCTTCCATAACTTGTCCTGTTACTGATTCACCATATTTAATACATAAACGGTTGAGACATCCTAGTTTGTCAAAACTTCAAAAAATAGTACCTGGTTTATCTCACTTGTCACTCTAGAGTGTGAGTCATGTCAGCTTGGTAAGCATTCCCGCTCCCATTTCCCTCGACGTCTTGATAATCGAGTAGAATCACCTTTTACTTTAGTCCATTCAGATGTTTGAGGTCCTAGTCGGGTCAGTTCTACCTTGGATTCCGCTACTTTGTCAGTTTCATGATGATTATTCCAGGTGCACTTGGATATTTTTGGTGAAAAATCGATCTGAGTTATTTTCTATTTCCAGACTTTCCACGCTGAAATTCAAAATCAATTTGGGGTTTCTATCCGCACATTTCATAGTGATAATGCCCTGGAGTATTTGCCTTCCCCATTTCACCAGCTTATTAACTCTTATGGGATTATTCATCAAACATTTTATCCGTACACATCCCAACAAAATGGGATAGCTGAAAGAAAGAATAGACATCTTATTGAAACTGCTCGTACCCTACTCATACAACCTCGTGTTCCGTTGCGTTTTTTGGGGGATGTAGTTCTTACATCTAGCTATCTTATTAGTCACATGTCATCTTCAGCTATCCAGAATCAAGATCCATTCTCTGATTTGTTACCCACATACCCTTGTTCTCTCTTCCACCCCGTGTCTTTGAGAGCACGTGTTTTGTTCATAACTTTACTCCAAGAAAAGATAAGTTAGCTCATCGTGCTCTTAAGTGCGTATTTTTGGGTTACTCGGGAACGCAAAAGAGATATCAATACTATTCTCCTGACCTCCAGCGATACCTTATGTCGGCTGATGTTACCTTCTTTAAAACCCAATCATAGTTCACAGGTCCAGGTAATCACTTAGATATTTCTGAGGTGCTACCAACTACATCTTTTGGAGATTCAGTCACTATCTCCCATTCATCTTCCTCTATAACTCCAGCTTCACCACCTATAGCTCCAGTTCCACCACCTAGTCTAGTTCAACCTTCTACAGCTCCACCATGCCTGAATTATCATCATCGTCCGCGTCCAGTATCAGGCCCATCTGATTCACGTCCTGCACCTAACCCTACTGATACTGTGGACTTGTCTTCTCTTAATCAAATGATTGCACTACGTAAAGGTATACGGTCCACACTTAACCCTAATCCCCACTATGTCGATTTAAGTTACCATCTTCTATCATCACCTTATTATGCATTTGTATCATCTTTGTCCTCTGTTTCTATCCCTAAGTCTACACGTGAAGCATTGTCTCATCCAGGGTGGCGACAAGCTATGATTGACAAGATGTATGCATTTGTATCATCTTTGTCCTCTGTTTCTATCCCTAAGTATACAGGTGAAGCATTGTCTCATCCAGGGTGGCGACAAGCTATGATTGACAAGATGTCTACATACGAGTGGTACTTGGGAGCTTGTTTCTCTTCCTTCGGGTAAATCGACTGTTGGTTGTCGTTGGGTGTATGCAGTCAAAGTTGGTCTAGATGGCCAGGTTGATCGACTTAAGGCTCCTCTTGTTGCCAAAGGGTATACTAAGATATTTGGGCTCGATTACAGTGATACTTTCTCTCTCATGGCTAAAATAACATCAGTTTGCCTTTTTCTATCCATGGTGGTCGTTCTCCATTGGTCTCTCTATCAGTTGGACATTAAGAATGATTTTCTTCACGGTGACCTTGAGGATGAGGTTTATATGGAGCTAGTGTTGTGAAGAGCGTGAAGTGAGGAAAAGTGACAAGCCCCTTTTCGCTTAAAGCGTGAAGCGAGAAGCACAGCGCTCGCTTTTTTGAAGTGAAGCGGAATTTAAAAAAAATATTAAAATAAATATTGCAGAGACAACACATGTAACTGCATACAACACATGTAACCGCCAATACTAAAAAAAATTGGCAGTGAGACTACGAACAAAAGATGAATAATTGAAGGAAAAAAAAATTTGTAGCATTTCACTGCAATATTAAGGACTTAAATGAAAATAAGAAGAAGAAGAAGAAGAAAATGAGAAAAAGAAGAACTGAAGGGGAAAAAAATTTGGCAGCATTTCGCTGCTATTTTAAGCACCAAGAAGAAGAAGAAGAAGAAGAAAACATACCTGGGCTTGACAGTGTTATTAAAAGCGCTCGCTTCTCGCTTTAAGCGTTGAAGCGACGCGAGGCGCTGGGCTATCGCTTTTCTGCTACAAAAGCGACTCACATTTAAAAAGCGCACGCTTTAACAGCTTAAGCGAGAAGCACCTCGATGGAAAAAGCACAAAAAGGCATGCTTAAGCGACGTGAAGGCAACTGCTAGGGTTTTTTTAAAAAAAATTGGCAAATAAATCATCTGTTAACAAATAAACATACGCTTTTCTGCTGCTCCAACTCCAGCGACGATTGCTGCTCCAACGATTGCTTCTTCTCGCTCTTCTGTTGCTCCAACTCCAGCGACGACTGCTGCTCCAACGACTGCTTCTTCTCCAGTTCTCTGTAAGTTTCTTCTTCTCTCTTCTTCTCTTCTTCTCTTCTCCTTCTTCTTTTTCTTCTTCTTCTTCTTCTGTTCGGCTCCTTTTTTTCTCCTTTTTTTCTATTTTTTTCAATTTCTATTGCTCTGTTCTACACATCTAATTTATGTTTGTTCTTCTACCCTATTTTTCTTTTCTTTTTTCAATTTTTTTTCACTTTTTAAGCGCTGATTTTGTGCCCTAAAACTACGCTCTGTTTTCTGGTTTATTGCTCTGTTTTTGTGCCCTAAAACTATGCTCTGTTTTCTGTTTTCTGCTAGTGCTCACTATTCTGGTTCGTCAAAATTAACTGTTATGGTTTTTTTTTTTGGTTGTTGATTGTAGTAAATTCAATTTTATTATTCAATGGCATCAAGCAAAAAAAGAGATCCAGCTTGGGCGTATGGAGTTGTAGTTGACAATAGTAACACAAGAGTGCAATGTACCTTTGTCAAAAAATTTATAATGGTGGAATACATCGTCACAAGAGACATTTAATCGGTGGTTTTAGAGATGTCAAAGATTGTCCAAGTGTTCTGGATACTATTAATAAAGAAATTAGAGAGTATGTTGAGAAAAAAAATGAGTTAATATGATTAATCTTCTTGATGAAGATAGTCAAATGGATGAGAATGACCTTGAAGTCAATGATATAATGATGCCACCTCCCTCTAAATCTCAAAGAAAGAATTCAACAAGTGGAAGTGGATCATCCACCGCCGGTAGCAATGTGAAAGGTCCTCTTAATCTTTTTTTCTCACAAAAACCAAATGAAAAAAGAAAGGGTGTAACTATTGACTTAGATTCTTGTAGGAAGAATTTAAGGGAGCGCGCTGTAGATGCTTTTGCAAGGTGGATGTATGATGCGGGGCTACCTTTTAATTGTGTGAATTACACCGATAGTTTTGGTGAATTCATTGAGGTCGTAGGCCAATATGGCCCAGGAATGAAACCCCCTACCTATCACGAAGTAAGAGTTCCTTGTCTAAAAAAGGAGGTGGAGAAGACAAATAAGATTGTCGAAGAACATAAGGCGCAATGGAAAATATATGGTTGTTCCATTATGATGGACAAATGGACTGCAAAAAATGAAAAAATGGTCATTAATGTTTTGGTTAATTCTCCGAGAGGTAGTGTGTTTCTTGAATCTTATGATGCTAGTGACTCCTCAACCAATTCCAATAAAATGTTCAACTTGTTTGAGAAGACAAAATTGAAAGTTGGACCGGAAAATGTGGTTCAAGTTGTTACTAATAACGCAAGTAAGAATAAAAAGCGGGTGACATATTGAAAGATGTTTTCCCAAATATTTTTTGGACTCCTTGTGCTGCACATTGTATCAACTTGATGTTTGGTGACACTTTCAAGTTAGCCCCATATTCTACAGGTGAACAAGTGGTTCTTATTTTCTATTTTAAGTTTTTAACCTTCATGTTAATTGCTTATACTTAACTATGAAATTTGACTTCCTACAATTTTTCCTAAGGCGATCAAGATACATTCTTACATTAGTCAAAGGCCGTTGTTGTTGAACATGATGAGGAGATACACAAAACAAAGAAATTTGGTGAAACCGGCTAAGACAAGATTCGCAACAGCTATCTTGACCTTGCATAGCTTTTACCTGCAAAAGCAAAATTTGCGAACCTTGTTCTTGTCAACCGAATCGAGTGAGAGTATCTATGCAAAGGAAGCTCATGGGAAAGAAGTTGCGAGATTTATTATTGGTCCATATTTTTGGAATGACACTGTTCAAGCACTTAAAGTTGGTAATCCTTTGGTTATTGTACTTCGTTTGGTGGATGGAGAGAAAAAACCACCAATGGGATACATTTATGAAGCCATGGATAGGGCTAAAGAAGCTATTGAGAAGGTATTTGATCATGATAGAAGGAAATATGAGAGAGTGTTTGAAATCATTGATAAAAGGTGGTATGATCAGCTTCATCAACCTTTACATACAGTAGGGCATATTTTGAACCCCGGATTGTTTTACACAAACAATGAGAACAAGACTTTAGATTTAGACGTTTAGAAAGGGTATCATGCATGTGTTGCGAAGTTGGTTCCAGATGAAGCGATGCAAGACAAAATAGGGCAAGAGCTTGGTGTGTATATGTAAGCCGATGGAATTCTTGGATTAGCTTCGGCCATTAGAGGCAGAACCAAATTGACACCAAGTGAGCAAGTTTTTTCAATTGTTTTACTCTTTAGAGCTTTAACTTTTAAGTTATTAACTTCTAAAATAATACTTCTACAGTTGAATGGTGGATGCAATTTGGTTATGAAGTTCCAAACTTGCAACAATTTGCTATTAGAGTTCAAAGCTTAACTTGCAGTTCATCCGGATGCGAGAGAAATTGGAGTGTTTATGAACATGTGAGAAGCTATATTACATTATTACTAAATTAAAGTTTATCTCAATTGTCCTAAGTACTCCTCTTAATTACTTTCTACATCTTATTATGCAGATTCATACTAAGAAGAGGAACAGGCTTGAGCTAAAGAAACTCAATGATCTCGTGTTCGTAAAATATAATAGAACATTGGCTCGTCGTTACAAAGCTCGCAATATCATTGATCCAATTTTATTGGATAACATTGATAAAGCAAATGAATGGTTAACCGGAGGCTCCGAAAATCATGAAGAAGAAGAAGAAGAAGAAGAAGAAGAAGTGTTTGAAGGAGAAGGCCTCACTTTTGGTCATGTTGCTATGGCAAGTGGAGTTGAAGAGAATGTTTATGGTTTTAGGGGAAGTACTTTAAGGAGCAAAGAAAGAGTATCTACAAGTATAAGTACATGTACAAGTAGAACCTTAATTAATGAAGCCTCCGATGAAGAAGATGATGATGACCAATATAATAACTCGAACATGATGACACTTCAAGAGTTTGGAGATCTTGTTGAAGAATAGGATGTTGCTCCTTTTGTGATTTTGTTTTGCATTTGCTTAATATGTTATGACTTTTAAGGATTATTCACTATCTAGTTTTAGTATCTATTATTTGCTTCTTGATTCAAGAATTGAAACATTTGCTTAATATGTTATTTTTAATGAGTTCTTAGCCATTTATCTATGCCTATTTTATTTTTTTTATTTATGTGTTAAATTGCGCTTCACATGAAAAAAGCGTGTGCTTCGCTTCGCGCTTCTCGCTTCGGTGAAAATTGAAACCCTGGTCACTTCAAACATACCTGGCTTGAAAATTGAAACCCTAGTCGTTGCTTGCTCTGCTGCTCGCTGATTTATTAAAAAAAACTGAGCTTTTTTATTTATCAATGACTTAAAAGACAAAAGTGAGCGCTTCCATTGCTTCTTGCTTTTTTGACAAAAGCGGACGTTTCAACCTACCTGCTACGCTTCACCCTACAGAAGCGACAGAGTGGCACCTCACTTCGCTTCACGCTTAAAGCGCTGAAGCAAGCGCTTTTCACAACATTGTATTGAGCAACCACCTGGTTTTGTTGCTCAGGGGGAGTTTAGTGACCTTGTATGTCGGTTGCATCGGTCCCCCTATGGTCCAAAGCAATCTCCTCGAGCCTGGTTTGGTAAGTTCAGCACAGTTATTCAAGAGTTTGGCATGACTCATAGTGAAGCTGATCACTCTATGTTTTATCGGCATTCTAATTCAAATCTCAGTATTTATCTGGTGGTTTATGTTGATGATATTGTTATTACCGGTAATGATCAGGATGGTATTACTAAGTTGAAGCAACATCTCTTTCCGCACTATCAGACTAAGGATTCAGACAGATTAAAGTATTTCTAGGTATTGAGATAGCTCAGTCTAGCTCAGGTATTGTAATCTCACAACGGAAGTATGCCTTAAGACATTCTTGAGGAGACATGAATGACATGTTGTAGACCTGCTGACACTCCTATGGACTCGAATTCTAAACTTCTACTAGGGGAGCCTCTTAGCGATCCTACAAGATATAAGCGGCTGGTTGGTAAATTAAATTACCTCACAGTGACTAGACCTGACATTTCCTTTCCGGTGAGTGTGGTAAGTCAGTTCCTGGATTCTCCCTGATAGTCATTGGGATGTAGTTGTTCGCATTCTTTGATATATAAAATCAGCTCCAGACAAAAGAATTATTGTTTGAATATCGAGGCCATGAGCAAATTGTTGGGTACTTAGATGCTGACTGAGCATAATCACCTTCTGATAGACATTCTACGTCTGGATATTGTGTGTTAGTAGGAGGTGATTTGGTATCGTGAAAGAGCAAAAAACAGAATGTAGTTGCTCGGTCTAGTGCAGAAGCAGAATATCGAGCAATGGTTGTGATAACATGTGAGCTAGTTTGGATCAAAGAATTGCTTAATGAGTTGAAATTTGGTGAGGTCAGCAAGATGGAACTTGTGTGTGATAACCAAGCTGCCCTTCATATTGCATCAAATCCGGTGTTCCATGAGAGAACTAAACACATTGAAATTGACTATCACTTCGTCACAGAAAAGATACTCTCAGGAGATATTGCTACAAAGTTTGTGAAGTCCAATGATCAGCTTGCAAATATTTTTACCAAGTCTCTTACTGGTCTTTGTAATAGTTACATATGTAACAAGCTCGGTACATATGATTTGTATGCACCGGCTTGAGGGGGAGTGTTAGATAGTTATGTACATAATTTGAATTAGTCCTAGTCCCACATAGAATAGGCGTATGATATGTATTGTATAAATAGGGCTTACTGTATTATAATTAAACAAAATATCAATAAATAGATTTTTCTCCGGTGCATTCTCACATTGTCAACCAGCACATGCAGGACCATCAAACTTCTCATTGAGACCTACCAGTTGCTCTTAAATTCCACATCTCTTTTCTTCCTTATTATTTTCTTTGACTTTACCTTTAAAACTTCAACTGGTTGATCAGAAGCAGCTATCTATGCTATTTTTCCTTTGACAGGGAAAAGATATATTTAAGGTGAGGCTGTAATTTATCTGGTAAGCTATATTACAACTTTCCAATGATGAAATATAAAGGATTAAAACCAATAAATATTAGAAGCAGTGAAGTATTAAGCCAGTGGAACTTACCTTGAAGTCATCAATTAGAGCAAAGTCTGGGAAGAAGGGTAAGATGTCCTCAATCTTTAATAGACCATCAGTTTCCTTGAGAAAAGCAATTGCCTTTCTTATATTCTCCCTTTTGGTTCCTTTTTCCTGCTCAATGACATGCTTAGCAATCATAAGCCAAAGCTTCTTCCTCAAGTCCTCATCATCTTCAACCTTGTCTGCTTCAGCCATCGCAAGCTCTGGATCAACCTATTGAATTAAAGGAAGTTGTGAATGGTGTCTTCTCCACTAAAGACTTATAGAAAAGTTTTTGAAAGTGATGCCAAAACCTGACAGGATCTATAGGTGAAGCATAGAATTTCTGCGTAACACATACATTTTTTATTTTTTTTCCTTCTCCCGCATCTTATATCGCTAAAGTGTGCACCGTGCTTAAAACCCAGTAGATGTTGGTGTTTTCTTAAAAAATTCTCCTTTGGAAACATTGGCTTAAATACTCTTGAAAGCATATTGTTACTTTCAAAAATAAATACAAAGCCTAAACAATAATTCTAAATATCAGTAAGCAAATAAAGCAAAACAAACCTTGGTATTTAGGACTAAATTAGAATCATAAAAGAAACAAGTTCAGTCTACATCAAGCATTGGGACCAAAAGGAAAAGACGAAACAATCCGTGGCAGTAGAAATTAGAAAGGAATGTTTAGATGTGATCCAAGCAATCAAAGTGTGGACATTTGATGACTATATGATTAGCTCAACGCTGTTTGTCTAGAATGAAAATATGTCATTTTTCATAATACATACACCTTAAAACTCCACCATGGCCTTAATTTTTGGAGCAACAACTTGAATACAAATAAATAAGGAAGAAATCACTCAGATAAATTTTGTTGGATTTTACACTTTCTTTTTTCTCTTTATTTAGTGTATGTAACAAGTAAAGCTTGTGCTTGACTTGTTTTGTTTTCCTATGCATGTGTCAAGCAACAGTTAATAGACCAACCTCATCCCTTCCACTCTTCCATTCAGCTTAAGCCCAAAGGACAATAAATGATGCATGAAAATTGCTAACATGACAAATCAGCTTGAGGAGAGAAAGCAGAGAGTGAAAGGCCATTTTTGAAGTTGCTTCACTATTTTGAGCAGTGATCAGACGAACTCTTCAGCTTCACAACAATATTGTGCCAATGTTCTAGATATAGAATTTGATTTTTCCATATTAAATACGAATATTAAATTGATCTAATCATTTTATGTAAATTCAAATTTTGGTTTCTTGCTTTATTATCGAAACAGAATGTGCATTTCTAGAAACTCCTAAACATCCAGCAAACAATAGAATAAGTGAAAACAGGACAATTTCTTTGGTTCCCCCTTCTGTGTTTGCAGGTATTCACTATCGGATCAGAGCGTGCGGCGGACGTCAAAACCGGTTGGTGGCAGCGGGAAATCGACTAGGTTACTACGGCAGTGTGGCCTTGACATTTACGATGATTCACCCAGGTTTCGCACTAATCGGGAGTTGGTACCTCCTGTTGATCGATCAATATTTCTGTCTTCCTTGTTGGTATCCAATTAGTTTGCGATAGTTTAAGCCTAATTCTTGCCTACAATTAATTAGTGCATCTGCCTGAATACCTTTCTTGCTAGTAAATGTTTAGGGATTTCTGGACTGTAATTTGGATTCTTAGTAGCTGTTCTGTTGGCCTTCTTTTATATATCTATTGTTATCACTAGTGGTTAGAGCTATAAGTGCTAGACCTCCCTCCTTTAGTTTAATCCTTTTTCTGTTTTAGGGATAGTTCTAGCTTAAGTTTCCTTAGATTATAGTGGTTGGGGTGAGTGATGGTAGAATAAGGTCATGTCTTCGTGTGTGTGTGGGGG